ACAAAAAGACCTTAGGTCCACATTGCACATGTCATATAATATTAATGAAGATTCTTCATTTCGATCAAATCACAATGTCGGCACCATTCACCATTCATGGTTCGAGGTACACAATGAAGAACATATATGTACAATGTTATTACTCATAGTGTGTTTGATCTCACAGCGTTTCCTCTATCACACAACCTACACAAACATTTCACACACACATTCAATAAATCATTTGTTTCAATTCGTACACTTATCTTTCATAATTTGCAACCTTCTTTAATGAATTTCTAATCATCATTTCACTCCCAAAAGGGTTTAAATAAGGTTGAGAATGCGTTCCTGAGGTTGGGAGTACCAACACGAGAAAATAGGGTCTTCTTCCCTACCTAGCCGCACGTGTGGCTGGTCTAACCACTCGAGGGGTCTGGCTCCGCTCATGCAGAAGCTCGAGCTGCTCAAGTGCACAAAATGGTTTTTCCTAGGTTTGGTTCATGGGCCGCTCATGTGGAGCCCGTGGCCGCACGAGCTGTATGGGCACATACAGACCGTCCGAAAATGGCATAAAAATGCAATCTTTCAAACTCATTTCCAACCCCAAAATCATGCAAAACCAACCCAAAAACATGATTTACTAGCATGATATAAGTGTAATTTCACATTAAACCTATCAATCTTGCTTCAACATCAAATTCATGGTCTTATCGTTTCACAAATTCATGATTTACATAAACAAGTTCAATATACATACAAACATGGTGAATCTTCCAACAAATCTTGTTTGTATGAACCATTTAGGGTTTATTTTATGGGTCAATCCTAAGAATGAACTAAAATCGAACAAAGATGAAGAGATTACGATTCAATTTCATATATTTACCTCTAGCCATTACATAACTAAAAACCCTATCTCAAAATTCCCAATTCCTTCTTGATTTCATAACAAATATAAGCTAAAGACAAAGGTTGTAAGTAATTTATCTTACCTAAACTCAAATCTAAGGTTTGCTCCTTGATTCTCTTCAAAATCCCTAGCTTTCCTCTTCCACTCTCTCTCTCTCTAACTCACTCTCTAAAGCTCTCAACCAATAATGAAGAACATAAGGGCTAAACATATATATGACCTAACTCATAAAACATGATTTAATCATTATGAATCATAATTTTTCAAAATTTCACCGTAAGCTCTATAAATCATGCTTATCACAGCTATGATGTCAGTTTTTGTTTATCGCGTCTCTAAGGCTTTCAATTCAAGTTCAAAATTGTAATTGCAACAGATGTTCCTACGTTTAACAGATATTATTCCAAATTCACATAATTCACATATTAAACTTGCAAATTCATATCAAAAACATAATCACATGCATAATTAAGTAGAGTACAGATTGGGTTATCATAGAAGCCTTAAGCTCCAAGTCCTCCCAAGCTCTGTCTTTGGCGGAGGCATATCATCAGTACCTGAAAGTTGTTTTCTACATAGGGTGGCCAAAACCTAGTAAGAATACTTTAACACAGTATATGAATCTTAGCAAAATCATAAGGTGAATGCACATGCATGCACTTTTCAAACATTTTTTGTTTTTCATTTCAGAACAATGCAATGCCAGTTTATATATCAATTCATGAAAATAATCCTTTTAATACAAAAAGCAGGGTAGTGGATACAAAGCACTAAGAATCTTTAAGTACGTGTCTACCAGTAGGCCATATAAACACTACCAAAGCCATTTTACCGGTACTAACCGAAAGGATCGGCACTTAACCGTGTGGGTTTTTGGATTTTCACCAAGGACACACAGGCCAACATCATAACCACAACTACACCCCCTAACTAGATTCACCAAGGTATTCACCCATTTTTTCTTAAAAATGACACATTTAAAATGTTCAGCGTATAATGATGCACAATGCACAATGGATAAGAAATTAGTTTCAATTCAACCTAATCCTCATGCAATGTCTATAACAATCAAGAGTATCTTCCACCGATAGCCCAAAACAAATATTTCTATACAATAGATACTTTCAAATCAACAGATATATTTTCATCAAATACAATGGAGTGATACTACATATCCAACCCCACCGTCATCATCAATATAACCCTTAATCCAATTTCATAATATCCAACATCTATTTCCATTTCCCTTTCTATAACTCCAAATATTCAAAATTAGGGCGAAACCCCATTTTCTTTCAAAATCAATTTTTAAGAAAGTATTTCCATCATTACAACACAATTTCTCCATAACTATACTCCCACAATGATTATCAAGAATCAATTTGGAAAACCCCTCCTTCGATTTACAGGTCTGATGTGCAATTCCATGTGAAAGTAAGTTTAATTGTGTGAATTCCATGGTTATGGATTGATATCTGTCAATATGAAGAAAAAAAATATCTGTTACAATTATGATGTTTAGATTAGGAATTGGAAACCTTAGAAGCTTGACAATCTGAAATTGACTTTATATTTGAGATCAGTATGATTTTTAGATCCTAATGTGATTTTCTGTAAAAATCTGATTCGAGATGATTAAACTGATTAAGTTTTGTTTTATTCAGCTTATATATTTATATCTATCCTTAAATATTTTAGTTGGGGGCTAGCTATAACAAAAATATCTCCTGAGAGAAGAGAAAGAAGAGTGAAGAGAGAAAGAACAAAGAGGGAAGATCAACAAGGAAGAGGATTGAGAAATAGAGAGGGTATCTAGAGATTGAAGCTCAAGGTGAGTCTAACCCACCTAGTTTAACCCATTTTCTTGATTTGGAGTAAGAATTCCTTGATATTATGTAACCTAGGGTTTGTAATTGAGATCAAGTGCATGATAATTGCTTAACTTGGAACATGTTTTATCACTTGGTTGTTTTGGAACTAATTTGGTGTTATATGGAGGAACTCATCCTATTGCTTGATTTTTCATATTGAACCCACATAGTTTTACAAATATCATGTTGTATGTTAAAGAGAATTGAGTTGTGCTTATGAATTTGAGGGAGATAAGAGTTAATTGAGTTTTGATTCATGTTAAAGTAATGTTATGCTCTCATAATGTCCCAAATTCCTCCATTTTAGACCTTGTATTATATTGGCCTTGGTAGGATGTGTTGTATTTCGGAATGCACAAAATAGACACAGCGACCGCACGTGCGGGGCTCATGGCCGCACGTGCAGGGAAGCACGGCCGCACGTGCCGGGCTCATAGCCACACGTGCGAAAAATAGGGGGACGAGAGGCAAAGCTACTAAAATAAAAGCACGTGCAGGGCGCACGTGCGGCCATCTTCCCACACGTGCGGCGAAGGGCTCCGCACGTGCGGTCCATGTGCAAAAACTTCGTCTGCTCCGTTTTCCTTGTTTAACCCTCTGGTATAATTAAAATCTGTATTTGATGTTTTTAAAATGTTGTAAATTCATTCGAAGCGAAACGAGTCAAATATTGTTTAAAAAGAAAAATGGACTAATTTCTCAACTGTATGTGTATGTAGGGCACATACCGGAAGGAACTGTCGCTCCGCCACAGCACTGTGAGTAATAGTACTGTAGTAGTACGTTTTGCTTATTGTTAATAATTATTATTAATGCTCTGTTATTCACAAGTTAACTATGTTAATCTATATGAACGATTGGTTAATCTATGTACATCTATTTGACTCTGAGATTGTTCTTCTTTGTTAAAGATGGGCCCGAGGTTGTTCAGTTATAAGCCACCGAGTGTGGACAACTCTAAAGAAGAGGGAGGTGAGGACAAGTTACTGACTCACCGACCGTGTTATGATTTGAATTAAATATATGTTATGGCCTCTGGCCGAGGGAAGTGGCGTACATGACAATGTATCACTTACCCGTTAATGTTTAGACAGCTGTTGATATATGGGCCCGAGGCCAATCTATAAGACATGTTGGGCCCGAGGCCAATCTGTAAAAATCTGTTGGGCCTGGGGCCGTTCTGTATGATACTGGGCTTGAAGCCACTCCGTATAAAGATTGGGCCCAAGGCCACTCTGAAAATGTTTACAAGATAAGATTAATCATATGACCTCCACACTTATATACATTATGATTCAAGCTTATTCATTGAATTCTTTAGGTACTACTATTCACTGAGCCTTACTCACTTCGTGTTATGTCTGTCTTGGTAGGTAATCAACCTGGAGGTCAGTCTTAGTTCAGCTTTGATCGCTTCCTTTTGATCAAGCAGTGTAAAGAAGCTTATGCATCTTGTGGGGTTCCCTTAATGCCCCATAGCTTGGTCCTTAGTCTTTTGTCTAATGTGATTAATCGTGTATATCCTTCTTTACCAATATTTTTTCTATATGCCCACGTGCGGGGCTGGATCTATATATATATATATATATGTATTTGTGTGTATGCAAATATCTACTTCTTGTATATATGTTTATCATATGTTGAATTGTTTAATGACACATTGAGATCCTAGCATATAGGTGTTAGCTCAATGGATGTTGTTTTATGCTATTAATTACTTCTGTTCAAGCCCCATATGTTGTACATATCATATTTGATCCGTTCTGAAGTGGTCATGCCCAAACTTTTAGGGGCGGGTTCGGGGTATGACAAGTGGTATTAGAGCACGAGTTGCTATCTCACACACGAATCCATTGAGCCTTAGGATGTCTAGAAAAGACGTAAGCATCATGCATAATATTCTGAATGCATATGAAAAAATTGATGGCAACGTTAATTGTCTATGTAATATTTGCTAACTCCAATGATTACGATCCATGTCTATTGTATATCTCTTGTGTATATTGTAATTGATTGTCATGTAGAATATGATGAGAACAAGAACGGAAGACCCGAAAGATTCTACTTCCGCACGGTTGGACAGAATGGAAAGAATGATCATGAAAATGGCAGAGACTTTACGACAATAACAGTAACAGCCACAACCACAACCGCCACCGCCACCGGTACCTCTGCCTATGATACAAGATTTCCATACTGAGGATCGAACCATTACAGTCACGAAGGAATTTAAAAAGATGAAACCGCCATCATTCAAGGGGGGAATAGAACCGATGAAAGACAAAGCGTGGGTGTTGGGGATAGAAAAGTTGTTCGAAGTTTTTCCTTGTACCGAAGCCCAAAAAGTGCAACTTGCTGCCTTCACGCTCGAAGACGAAGCACGGAGGTGGTGGATGCTTACGAGAACTGTACACCAAGGATTAACATGGGACAGATTTTTGGAACTGTTTTATGACAAGTACTCTCCCCAAAGTATGCAAGATAAGAAGGTGACAGAATTTGAAACTCTCAAACAAGGAAACAAGACCGTTGTGGAGTATGAAGCCCAATTCGCAGAACTAGCCCGGTTTGCACCTCATATAGTGGATACGGATTATAAGAAAGCACGAAAATTTGAGGGGGGATTACAGAATGCTATCCTTGACCGAGTCAATATCTTGAAGTTACCCACCTATGTTGATGTGTTGGAGAGGGCTGTTATAGCAAAGGGAAACATTGCTGCTTAGAATCGGATTTCCGAGTGGAAAGGAAAGAGGCAGAACACTCAATTATCAAAGGGGTCAACCACTCCACCAAACAAGAAACAAAATTCAGGAAACTCTAGTACTTCCACCCCTACTCGAGATTCAACTCCTGTTTGTTCAGAATGTGGAAAGAAGCACCGTGGGACTTGCTACCGATTGACTGGAGCATGTTTCAGGTGTGGCAAGACGAGCCAGTTGGTGAAGGACTGTCCTCAAAGGAATCAGCAAAACGGGAATAGGGCTACTACAAGCTCAACAGGGTCTAGACCAGCTCCCAACACCAAGTCAGTCGCAAAGGCTGTTAATAATAAAGACACCGCTAGGCAAGAAAGGGTGTTTGCACTGGTTCCAGGAGATGTGCAAAATGCTGCAACAGTGGTGTCAGGTACATTTTTGTTCATGGTCATTCTGCTCATGTATTGTTTGATTCTGGCTCTACCCATTCCGTTGTGTCAAAACTATTTGCTCAAAATTTAGATAGATCTGAGGAAGCATTATCTTATATGCTATGTGTGTCTTCACCTTTGGGAGACACTATGGTTTGCACTTCTGTTTATTTTGCTTGTGAACTCCAATTTGGGGATATCCGGGTATATGCCAATCTGTTACCTCTTGACATGACTTATTTTGATATTATTCTAGGTATGGACTGGTTGAGTGAATATGGTGCAACTATTGACTGTTTGACTAAGCAAATCAGTTTCAGTGAACTAAAAAATAATTAGAACTTTAGAAGGAGTGAACTTTATGTATTGATGAACCATATCCTTGCAATAAACCATATAACCCCTTTCCTCACCAATGTTTTTGTTATACGCCCAATCATGGGGCTGGGTCTGTGTATGTATATGTACATAACTGATTCTCAGGTGTATGTTCACTGTATGTTTATCTACCTGATGCGATGTTTGTGGTCCTGGCATATTAGTGGTGGCTCAATGGATATTATTTTATGTTATTAAATGCTTCCGTTAAGGCCCTATATATTATACATATCGAATTTGACGTCCGTTTTTGAAGTGATCATGCCCAAACTTTTAGGGGCGAGTTTGGGATGTGACACACCAAGTTTTTCAAACACATCTGAAATTGCGTTAAAATAACTCGCAACCATCCATAGACCTTGTATGTCTTAGGACAGTAATTGAAGTTTTTCCCAAAGAAGCCGTTGAATGGAGCACTTTGTATAAACAATGGTAAGCCTTACCAGATCAGAATTAAGGAAGTCAACAATAAGGCCTTCAATTCGCATAATGAAATAGAAACACATACAGATAATTCTATGACAGACAGATATAAACACAAATATCATATAACACATGCAATTAACTTGAGATTTCATCTCAATTACTCATTAGGCATTCTTAATCATACAGTATTAGTTAATAACGGATCAGGGTTGTTACAGTCTTCTTTTCTTCTTCTTTTTCTTCTTCTTCTTCTTCTTCTTCTTCTCTCTCTCTCTCTCTCTCTCTATATTAATATCGAACTGTAGTGGTAATTATGCTATTGAACAACATAACACCTTCCACAATTAGAAACACTAATATCTCACCAACATGGATTCCTATATGTGATGAAGTGTAGTGTGGAATTTCAGCATAATTGATCCAAAATTATATAACATGCTAATTCCACATTCAGTCCTTTGTATGGTCTTGACAAGACCCTGCAAGGAATTTTATTCCATTTTACACTTCCAAAAGAAGCCTTTATTCCTCTAAATCGAGGTCTTTCATGCTTTAAACCAAGCATCATACTTTATGGATCCATATATACTTCTGAACCAAAGTGTTAATCTTTATATCTCAAAATTAAAATATAACTGTAAGAGCTCATGTAAGAGGTATACATATATGACAATTACCATTTATGCGTACACACACATAACTATAAACCAAATGTGAATAAACACATTAAACTTTATTAACTGAAATATACCATAGATAATATTTATGGGTAAAAAATTTCTTTAACCAAGCACATAAAAAACTATAAAGTACTCATATGCTCAATATATTTAGCAAACTAAAATTTGGCATATGCCCTATATTTAGAGGATCAACTAGTATGTATTCTATAACATGTGTTCATAAAGAATATCATCTTTAACAACTCTGTAATTCTGAAATACTTTAAAATTATGTATTTAACACCATCAGAGTTTTTGTTATTCTTTATAGAGAAAATTAAAACCATATATCATAATACATCTTTATAGGTTTGGAGATGAAATTAACAATTCCAAACTCTGAAATAAAATTCTTTAATTACATAACTCAAGTCGAACTCTAAAACATGTTTGTATAGTGAAAAATTATAAGAGATTTTATGAAACTCTTTCATGAAACAAGATCTCATGCAAACATAAAAAATGTAACCAGTAACAGACACTATATATCATTTGAGCAACTTCCAAAGTCGACATTATACAACCAATAATATTAACATGATTAATTCTTCCATAGCTAATTGTATAATCTTTAATTCTCTATAAATATCATGACACTTTATGTCTTTCAACCCAATGGTCAAGGCTTAAATTAAAATAATAATTGTCTAACAAACTAATTGCATATGCACCAAGTTTAATTCAAACTTCATAATTCATTAAACTCTCACAACACTAGCATACAAGACATTCCTCATGAACTTTTTCTCAAAATCATTTTATGAATACTGAATGTTACTTAATTAATCTCGATCATTAAGAAGAGCAACGTAAAGCTTTCAATTCTGCATATTAAATTCAGTAAAAATGTGATCTAGGTATGCTCTTTGAGATGAGACAAATAATCCTCTAAGTTATTTTTCAAGTATCTCAATGCCAAACACATAAAATACTTTATCAAGATATTTTATATCAAAAATTTATTAACAACAATATCTTCACATCCAGTATTAATTCAAAATTATTACTAATAAGTAAAATTCCATCGGTATAAAGGATCAAGAAAAATAAATTGCTCCCACTAACCTTGAGATATATGCATAAATTAATAGTATTATCCATAAAGCCAAGTAATAATATTTGGTGAACCTTTAAATATCATTATTCAGAAATTCGTTTAAAACTATAGATAAATTTGTTTAACTTACAAATCAAATTTATTTTATTTGGTGAAGCAAAAGATAAAAATGTCACAATACCACTATAATCATTATAAACCTACATTTATGATATTGGTAAGAACAATACTCTTTTCAAATCACAACCTCTTGCAATAGCATTGCATTTATTTATTTATCTTTCAAAAAAATACTCATTAGATTTCAAAGTTTTAAAAATATATAACATGATCTCATATCTAATTAATAATTCGTACCAATTCATTTTACCATATTACAAATCGCCAATATCTTCATCATACGTAACAATCATCTCTTCAATTCCTTGATATTGCTGATTTAGAAAAATAATATGATCACAAGAATCTTGAACTGTATGAGAATGTCTAGGAGTTGTACGTGTTATGCATGTTCAAGTTATATCAACAGATTGAATAGACACTTCAAGTTCTACTTGCACTCTCACTTTCTCTATATGAGAATGAACATACCAGTTTATTATAATAGGCACAAATACACAAAAAGATTTATATATTTGAGCTTTAAACTGTTCATCAATCTAAAAACTTCACATTTTAAGCTTAAAAGATTTTTATGTCAGAACCAAGATAATAGAACCATTGACAACTTACAAAAGTAATATTTTAATTTCAAAAGCACAGCAAACTTTTTACTTCTGTACAATCTCAAACTCAAAAGGTATTCTAACTAAATTTCCTACTAGTTCACAATTCAAAAGTGTTTTGAAAATATTTTTAATTTAGTACCATATGTAAAGTATACACAAGTATACATAGCAATTAAAATTATTTTATCACAAAAACTTGTATAATTTAAACATGTTAACATACACCTCATCATTTTATTAGAGTCCAATTACGACGCTCAAGTACTCAACTTTCTTCCAAAGTTACAACCATGATATATTTAAATTGATTCCACAATTTTGTAAAAATTAATAAGAGGTTACTACATTAACCAAAATTCTCATGTTCACTATAATATCCACCTTGAATTAATAATTTTAAAAACTTTATCAGTGTATTTTTCAACATAAATGAGATTAGACAAATGCATAACAACAATACTCATTTATGAAATCAATAAAATAATTTCTCCCACACACCTTATGATAAATGAAAATCTATTCCAATTATTATTATTTTTATTTTATTTATTACCAAAATTAAAAATAATAACAATGCTTATTTTGTTGACATTAAAATTGAATTTTATCTCATGGATGATATAAAAATAGCATTTTTTAAAATAACTCTAACTTAAATAACTTGACCAGAAAATAAAATTTTGATTAACACAAGCATTTTTTTTAAAAAAAGTAGTTTAAAAAACAAATAAGGAGATTCCAAAGGTAGGAAAAACGTCATAACTCACAGAGCGTCATAACTCACAAAAAATTTCAAAGAATTTTTCTTACTAGAGTTAATAATATGTAAAGAGATTTGCGAAATATTCTAAAAAGGAAAACGTAAAACACTGAAAAGAAATAACAATTTGCAAAAATCGAAGGTATTATATACAACATTGTAGAGTATAATTTAGATTTTCTTACAAGAATCGTCTAATAGATATTCTAAAACTCTACTTTCTTAAATAGTCAACATTGAATATAATTTCAATCTTTCACACTATATTGAGGTGTTAATATAAATGGTTAAGAAGGTGCATTCTCGAGTATGTCAACATCTAAATTAGTTGGATTTAAAACTAAGAAAATATTCATTTACGGATTCATAACCAAAACTTTAATGGAATAAATTTAATTTTCATAAAAATATCTCCCTTCATTGCTTTCAATTCAATATAATATCATTCAATTATATATGGACAATAATAATCTCATAATTACAATTAATATTCTCAAATATTTAAAATGTATCACTTTTAAACTG